ACCTTGAGCCAATTTTTTCTTCGACATCATATTCATAATACTTTGTGTAAATTAATGTTGTGTTGCAATAGGGTTAATCATTCTAGTATCAAATTAAATTTATTTTGCTGTCGAAATGCTACTAGATATGGCATTCAACATCTCATCATAAATGTGGAAATAAACACCTTGTTTTCTTCTTCTTTACACATCATTATATATATATATATACATATATATATTTATATACAGGGTGACTTCGAAGTTGAGTCATTTATTTTAACAGTGAGTAGATCTGATCAAAAGAAATATTTTTTCCTTTAACATTTTTGTGGTAAAATTAAAGTAACAAAGTTATAGCCTTTTAGAAGTTTGAGTACCGCCCTGTCTCAATTATAATATTATGTGCTCGTGTTTGGCAACAATGGATATAATCCGCCTTATCGGTTCATCATCGGGGGGGGGGAGTCTTTACAAAATGCTGCCGCGGCATCACGGATTTATGCGGATCGGTTTCCCAATCGAGTGCAACCAACCCCTCGTGCCTTTGTTAATGTACAAAGGGCTCGTGAATCAGGTGGCTTAAGACCTCACAGGGGAGGGCATGCCGGTGCTCCAAGACCGCACGATCAAATACAGGTCCGCACTGAAATACTTGTCGGGAGGATACTTTATAAAACAAGGTAACATTTTTTTTTATTTTTACACACATATTTTGGTTTATCTTCCTTCTACAATCATTATCTGAAAATTAATGACTCAACTTCAAAGTCACCCCATATATATATACGTGACTTTGAAGTTGAGTCATTAATTTTCAGATAATGATTGTAGAAGGAAGATAAAACAAAATATGTGTGTAAAAATTAAAAAAAAAATATAAAAAATGTTACCTTGTTTTATAAAATATCCTCCCGACAAGTATTTCAGTGCGGACCTGTATTTGATCGTGCGGTCTTGGAGCACATACCCTCCCGTGTGAGGACTTAAGTCACCTGATTCACGAGCCCTTTGAATAAAATAAATGAATAAAACATCGTGATAAGCGTTTCAAATTCTTTCGCATTTTTGTTTCCGATTATATCCGTTGTTGCCAAACACGAGCACATACATATTATTATTGAGACAGGGCGGTACTCAAACTTCTAAAGGGCTATAACTTTGTTACTTTAATTTTACCACAAAAATGTTAAAGGAAAAAAACATTTCTTTTGATCAGATCTACTCACTGTTAAAATAAATGACTCAACTTCGAAGTCACCCTGTATATATATGTAAGAAAAGGTGTAGATTTGATTTGGCTTTTACCCCAAAAAAATACACTTCTATCCCCAATCAATACTTTATTCCGCGTACTACTATTTACTACGTATTTAGGCACAATTTGTTTGGCTGTCGGTACGTGACTGTCTTCGTACTCTTCGTCTTCGCTACTACCTGCGAGGGATCCTACTTGTATTTTCTACTTGCTTGATTATTACTGAACTCTTTAGTCTTCTTAGTGAAAATAATATGCAAAATGAGGATTTGATTTTTACTTCGGATGCCGATAGAACGTGACCATATGTTTCACGTGAACGTCACATAGTGAAAGTTATTTTTATCACATCACATTCTGAGGTCAAAATATGGAAAAACTTATCACTTCACGCTGAACTTATAACGGCATCGCCTTTACGTTTTGGGCAAGTCTTACCACTCCTAGATCATATAGAGAAGTAGAAACACTTAGTGTTTTGAGGCAAAAGATAGTACGGAATGATTTTTTTGACAATACCTTTTTATTATTATACTGGTTCTTTAATAGATAAATAAATAAAAATATACACAAAATTCTTTAAAATACCATTTGCTATTTACAGAAAATATATAGAACTTACTATTGTTGTTACTCGCATGTTGCCAAACTAAACAACAGAAATGGTAACCTAAATATAAACGGTATCATTTATACAACTGGCAGATGTTATATTTTATTTTTAAGTATGTTATTTCCGAATATTACAAAAGATATTTCTCGACGCTAAGTATATAGAAATAATAAATTAGTGCTGAATACTTTTGATTTCATCTTATCATTTCTTGATAGATGAAGTTTTAGAACGAGTGAAATGTTGGCAAAATTGAAATGTAAACAGGAAACGGTGATGCATTCTTCCTACAGTTTGTTCGCTTATTGAATAGAACTAAATAATGTTTATTTAACAACACTTGTAAAAATAATACATTATATTTTTAATACATAGTTTTATTTTATATATTGTAATTCCAAGGACTGTTACTTGATCAGCAGGATCCTCTAGATACAAGCCGTTATCAGCCTCATTTTGTAGCTTTAAAAAATAATTCTTTTTTTATACAAATTGTAACATTTATTGTTGCAATAAATAAATAAGAATCAGTCAAATAGTTTTACCCAGCGTTTCCCATGTAACGATCTGAATCTTTTATTACGTTATACGGTGAGCAATTAAAAGTTAAAAAAGGAGAGAAACGAAGTTTAGAAATTCTTGGAGATTTTGACGTTATAAAAGAATTGTTGACTAAGCCCAAAAATATGTAAAACATCGAAATTTATCATTTTTGCTCGTAACTCAGCCGCGAAAGAACTGACTTTAAGAACCCACATAGCTTTTCCGTTATTGAGCAACGTTTAATAAAAATTCCGTTAAAATTCTAGCAGTACTTTCCGAGAGGGGATCAGCATTACTGCAATGATATTGGTCCAAAATTCTTCTTCATGTATTTTCCATTAAGGCTAAAGCATAGATGGAATTAATTTGTATCCATTCAGTGTGCACTCAAATCGAATCAGCCTCACTGTTGTAAGTTCTTATATGGGACCAAATCTATAATTAGGAATGAAACAAGTGCATAGCGGCAGCGATTAGCCAAGTGTTTCGGCATTTGCATTGAATTAGCCGTAAAAATATGAGTAATAATCGCCCATTCAAGTTCACATGATCAAGTAGGCGCATTTTTCTAATACCCAACATCTCACAAATAGGCGTCTGGAGGCAGACATTTATAATGCTGTTCAGTGGCAACTAGATTGTAAACATGGCGCGAACAATTAGTCATAGTCTGCCCACGGGTCGGAACGCGTAATTTGAAAATCCGATTCACTACATAACCTGTAAATAAAGAGCAATTGAGAAAACAACTGCGGGGGTAAGGCGTGTACATATAGCCCATTGTCTACGAAGATCACTGTATATATGGATTATTTTTCCAAAAGGCACTACTGGAAATCGGTTCTTCTGAATTAACTCCTGAACGAGAGCTTAATAACCAATTGGGGCCTCACTTGAAGATATTTATATAAAACATTGAATCCATTAAGCTCACCAGGGACGGACTAGCCATAACGAAATACTGGTGTCATTTCTTTACACAGCATGTATAATGATGGCCTCAGCTGGAGACACGTATTGCTTGATTCTGATACAATTAGTCGTTTTTGAGAAAAGCAATTCACACCACAACCGTTTCCCAAACATTCTGACAAGAACCTAGAGATTAATTTCATGAAATGATGTAGCATTCCATGGAATGGTTGGATTTCATGAAATGGCCAACTAAATTTGACCATATCGTTAAAGCGTTCATCATTTAACGATTTGGTTGCCACGATTGGCCATATCGTAAAATATGCTGGCTATAGAATATTTAATAAAAATCCAGAATATGTTACAAACACGTTTATTGTTCTTTAAGTACGACAACAATTTTCATTAAAACTACTAATCAAAATAAAATAGCTATATTAAAACATTCTTAAGTTGCACAACGTGTCACAAATACAATTTTTGAACATGTCATATATCACAAATTAAGTTACTACTTCGCGTGGTCACCCTGCTCTCTTTTATTTGACGTATAAATTGTACATACGTAGAGTAATAGACAACCAATATTTAGGTGGCACATGATTTTGACTTCAAACAAATGAATGATAATGTAATTTAAGAGTGTTAAACACGTTCCGAAGCTGTGCCTTTTTGACTTTTTGGTCGGTATTTGCGTGGTCTACATATTACTCGACAACTCGAGTACTTTTTGGACGTAGTAATTAATCTCAATATCTTCCTTATTTTTTTTGTATATATTAAAAATATACTTGTTCGATATGTAAAGAAAATAAAAATATTTTTAAATTTATTGTCGATTTTTTCAAGTGGTGTGGGGATTACGTTTTGTTCCATGCCAAATTTCAGCCTTTCAGTATTTTTTCTGATGATCCAATAAAATGTTCTTCCACAATACTGTAGTAATAAGCATGCTGGGCTATAGACAGTTTGGTTTAACTGTGTAGGTCACAGCAATCATTGAGATTTGAATAATATAACCATAAAAACAGTTCCTGCTCTTATACAGTGCTAGAGAGACTTAATAAAATATAGCAACAGATGTAAAAATCAGGCTATGACGGATATGTATGAAGAAACCAAGATGACATTTCTAAATATGAAACCCTAAATCCAGGTGTAGTGATTTTCGGAGTTTGGCTCTATTTTTGTCTCTTTTTACCTTTGACAATTTCCGCAATCCTTTTTGAAGATTCTAGACGGCCTGTACCCCGAGTGGTAAAAAGACCACCTACTTGATAAATCAATGAGAAAGATAGGGAGGTATGCTCCAAAAGGTTGTCACGTACGTTAAGAACTTGGAATTGGTCTCTCACCAATACCTGTAACTGAAGTGCTCTATAGAGTCTCTTGGATGTGTTTCATCGATTAAGGAAGCAAACCCTTAAACTCTCGCAATTACAAAAGCTCCAGAATGAAGCGTGTTTTTTCAAATATCTAGTAAAATAGGAAATGTTCAAAAAATAAAGACCTAAATTAATATTTGTTCCATATCTTACATATCGCAAGCGATCTTTCAGTTTACATACCGCTTTACGAGTATCAAATAATGAATAATTAGCAATCTATTTAAAACGAAAATACGTCCGCAATTTTCGATATGGACGCATCGTGCCAAAACCAACGCCTTGCCTTCACGCTAATCCACAGCATAATTGATAATGCTGCCAATTTAATGCCCTGTCTCAAATACCAAGGGTAACTGATTTCGCCGATGGCCAGACCCTGATTAAACAAAAACAAACTACAAACGACGGACGATCAGTTCGCCACGTACTCTCCGCTCGTCTCTTATATATTAACGAAAAATCATATTTAGAATAGAGCCCAGCTGGATTATTGGCAAACGTTATGATCTGAATGCGATCTTTCGACTCTACACTGCGCCGAACTGTTCGCGTGTAATGCATAAGTGAGGGAATAATTCAAATTTCCCGCGAGATTACGCAACAAACGCGGGTGCGCGAACGCTATGGGTTTGCTCCTCTCAGTGTTAGTGGTTTGTGTGGGTGTTGTCGAACTGTTGGCTGTTTATAATAACATTAGAAGGAATCTCACGTATCCGCCTGCACGAGTTGACCTCAATTCAGTCAAAAACAGGTACCACCATGAGAGAAACAAGGTATGTCACCTTGAAGACCTACATGGAGAAGCCTCCAACATACCTACCTTCAGATTAAACAGCCATGAGGATGTTGAGATAGAGTACCATGAGAACCTAGCAAGATCTAGGTCACCAAGCCCAAGGACTTTCCTCGTGACCGAGAAAGAGATAGAGTGTTCTAGTGATAAAGCAAATCCAAGAAGATTCGTGGTTACCGAGGAACCATCGGCGAGTCTCAGGAAGACGAAATCTCAAGATTCCATACCAGAGTTTCTCATCCGCGAAGAGAAGAATTCAAGTAAGTCGCCTGATAAGCCTCGCTACTTGCTGCAAGAATCCGCTGGTAGATCAGAATCACCCATTCCTCTTCCCAGACAGTTTATAGTGACTGAGGATGAACTGAATACCGTCGTCTTTGACACGATCCCAAAACGCATCCATAGCAAGGCTCAACCTAAACATGAAGTACATAAACGACCTTTGTCTCCATATCCGTCATTCGATCTGCCTCAAGTACCCTTGGTACCTAGAAATAGCATTTGCAACGATTTAGAGGAGACTGTAGAGGAGTTGCTATATGAGAACTCTAGATCTTCGAGTCCCGAAAGAGTGGATGTGATTTTGGAACGAACTGCTAATGGTACCACCCAATATACAACTAATAAAGTGTTAGTTTCTCCGAGTAATGATACTGTGCCATTGGAAGCATATCCTCGAAAGATAGTATCATTTTCAAGTGAAGGAAGGGTTGAGGATGAAGACGAATTTATACCTGATTCAGAATACTTGAATAATTTAGATGGTGTTAGTAAAGCAAAGCCAATTAGAAGAGGTAGTTCGTCAAGAAAGACAGTTAAAGGGAAACATGGTAAGACCTAAATAATCAGTTGATCATGTTCATAGTCTAGCCAAATAGCCAAAGGTTCAATAAACCAGCTACCACGCTTCATATAAGATAAAACCTGGACTAGATAAAAAAGTTGCAATAGTATTGGAAAGATTGTCTACAAGTTAGAAATGAAGGTTGAGAGCTATATATTATCACCTAAGTCGAAATAAAGTACTCCTAAATTGAAGAGAAAAGCTTTGGGGAAAACAATATAAAACCTAAGCACATTTTAAGTGCCTTTATGATTGGCAAAACTATGACTTATTGACGAAAACAAAGATCACAGAATTAAGTATGCAGATATAGGAATAAATCAAGAACTAGTATTTGGCTGCTATTATCAATTTAGTGCATCCGCACAATCATTGCTTGAATCTTCCATATTTTTCTCCGCAAATTCATGTTCATGATGTCCATCAAGGCAACTAGCATTTCAAATCCCCATAAACCTTAAACTTGACGGCTTGGCTTATTGACTGGACTATTTTTACTTTCCATTCCCGTTTTATGCTAGAAATTGATTGTTTTTCTTGCTTTTTGTTTTGTAGTTATTACTTTTTTATCGTAATACGCCGCTGCAACTAAAAATCAAATTTTCTTCTCCGCCGTTGTTTCGTAGATTTTTTCTCTTTTAAGGTATGCATCCACAGGTCCGCAACGCATACTCATCGAATAGAATTATTTGCGTATAATCTACAAGCAGAGGTAGGCAAAACAAATCTCCAACATACCAACCGTTTGCCAAGTTAGTCATCATCATCCCTTACGATGAAATATGAGATAAAAACCCTACGTTACCGGCTCATAACTACTTGACGTTGTGCGCACCACCAAAACGGTCGACCGATCTAGCAGCGGAAAGAAAATATTCATGGAGCAGACCATCAGTGGCCTTCTGTTCATATATGCATAAATAGACACGATTGATATTGACATGTTTGCTTTCCGTCTCTGTAACCACGACCAACCGCTGACAGTTGTTTCGTGCTGGTTAGTAACTCATCAATACGGTATAGGTCTAGTAGTCTAGTCCTGGAGCCAGATGAACGGGAAGCAAGAAAGTGGCAAACCATTGGTAGGAGAAGCAAACATATTCAGATTTTCAGCAATCGGAGTGAGATGTCTCGAACGAGCTACTATTCCAATGTCAGCCAATCTTGTATGCCTGAATTCATTTTCATTACTAGCTACCCTATATGGTTGTCTGAATCGAACTGAGTACCAAGATTGCTGTGGATCCAGTGGATGCACTACAATTGATTGATCCGTTTAGGGAATAATACAGTTACCAGTAGACGAGCCACTTGTTCGAAAAAAAAAACAGATTCTGTCGTGGTGGCTGAGGTGATACTTCGGTCGCTAAAATCCTGCCTGTCATTTGGATGCAATCATCCATTATTTACTTGCGGTAATAGTCGAGGAAGTGTCTTCACATCTGCTTGGAAAAGTAAAGAAACAATATTTAACGCGATTTTAAGCCTAGAAACATGCTTATTCACTAAAAGGGGCACTTTTTAATAAGATTCTGCGAGAAAACAATCAACATGTTTTTGTGAGTGCATGAGAAGATATTTCCTGGTTTATAAAGCATGAGTCAAGCTTATAAAAAAAGGCAACCTAAAGCCTAGGTAGTCGATGGCCGGCATTCGATACGGAAACAATTCGGAAGTGGATCTTGTATGAATTGTAGAGGGAGATTCATGATGACAGCGTGGTGTAGCGCGCCTGGATGTAAAACAACGAAAACTGGGGTGCCGATGTTTCGTTGCCGTGCGAATGATGTTAGTCAAGTCAAGTTATTCCAAGATATTAGGAATCCGTTTCTCCATAGAGGTATAATTGACGAAGGATATCCACCCAACATTCACCTATGATTCGTGAGTCTGTAGTGTCAAATACGAGATATTATTTCAAATTTGATATGTCTCCAATACGTGTGGATTCGATAAGATTTCTTAAAAATCATGAGTCATAGAAAAAAATCATTAAACTGACTCCTTTGCTCTAGAACCGTAATTGAGGTCTTAATGAAATTTAAGTACAAGGTCACTATTATGCCAAGGACAAAAAAAATAATTCCTAGTTAATATAAATGCCTGTATTAACTGTATATTGACTTTAAGGAGATGCATGATTGCATAGGTTTCTGCAAGCGGTAGTATATTTTTGAAAATTATACAAATTCATACAACAAATGTCTTGAAAACAACATTAAAAAAAATGTTTTTTACTTACTTCAGCACTCTTTCGTTACACCCATTTTCAAATTTGTGACCAAACAGTATCCCAAGTTTTGACAAAATGAACACAGTGGTTACTGAGATTACGCAATGACAATTACGCAGAACAGCACTACTCTGTATAAAGCGTTAATAAAGTCCACACTCCTGCGGATCTCTATCAGTGAAGCACCTAGAGAAAAAAGGATCCAAATTCTAGGAAAAATGTCGGCATCTTTAGGATTACGAAGATCAAATGTTTTTTTGCGAGTGTCCCTTCTACTGGTAACTCTCTGTGTTCTTTGGGATTACTGAGAATGGTCTGACGCGTGCGTTGCGAATCTGTGTACGCTTCAGTTAGAAATCATTTGAAAACTGAATGAAACTTAGATACCAGTTTACAGTATATTCAGATAAGAGATAGACCGGATGTAAACAAAAGGTTCGGGTGATTTTCACGCTAACGCCGCCGTCTCGACGTAAAACAGGAGCCCTCATTGGTCAATTCGCAATTAAATGCCTATGCCGAGCGGCAGAGCAGTCGTATCGAGGCAGAGTCACATTCAGGTTCAGACGTGTTACGTATGTCGTGTGCATCATTGCAATTTGATATTTCTTTGGACGTTTTCGTTTGTTATCTTATTAAGTTGTTGAGTTTGTCGTTGTTATTGTTATACCTTGTTATTGATTGTTATTGTTAGCTTGCGCAAAATGCCCAGTAGTACAGATACTGCCGATGAAGTTGTAAACTCCTGTAGTCCACCTAGGAAACGCTCCAAAAAAAGACACCTGAGTGCAGAAATGAAAGAGGTCATTTTGAATATATATAAGATCGAGCGCGAGGAGAACGAAGCATCAACCATCAAAGAAATTGTTGTGAAGGTGTGAAGTTGGGGTGTGTCGCGCATCAGTGTTTAATGTGTTAAGACAATACAAAAAAATCACACCTTTTCTGAGCCAATGACCAGTAAACATCGCAAAAGTATTGTTAAATCATTGGATGAAGCTGATAAGCATGCGATTAGGAGGAAAGTGCATGAATTCTTCTTTAGGAATGAAATACCTACTATAGATAAAGTACTGCAGGAGGTAAATGGAGATACAACGTTGCCAAATTTCAAACGATCAACTTTCCATGCGTTACTGAAGCATTTAAATTTTAAATGGAAAAAACGGGGTCGTAATAGTTTACTACTGGATAGAGAAGAAATTGTGCTATGGAGGAGGGATTATTTAACAAAAATTGGGAAATATAGAAATCAAAACAGGAAGATTTATTACCTTGATGAAACGTGGGTAAACGCAGGACACACTACAAGTAAAGTATGGGTTGTTGATTCTGTAACTTCATCCAGGAGGGCCTTTCTAGATGGACTGTCCACCGGATTAAAAAATCCAGCAGGTAAATACGAGTAATAGACAACAATCGGATGTTTTTCAAACCTTGGGAACAAGGTTCTAAACATTAATTCCAGGGGGCAGATAAAACATATTACAAGTAACAAAACTTTTATAACTTTCGATAAAATGCGTGGATGTTTTATTGTCATTTTCATTTGTTAGAACTTTTTTAAGCCATGTTTTTATGTGTTTTCGATATTTCAATAATTTTTTAATATAATCTTAAAATATGTCGAATATTATAAACTTAAAAAAACTTACTAAGTTTTATATTGTGTACCGTTCCTAATATTTCTAATCATTTTAATTCATACTTTAAGCTTTATAAAGTTATAATTTGTTAATATTAATATTTACGTGTATTTCAGGTTCCTGATCATTCATTTTTTAAAGGTTTATAACTTTAAATTAAATTGTGAAGCGCTGAGTAATCATACGACGTTCAATATTCTTTCTTTCAATATGACTAAATAATCCCAATTATAGCAATCTGATACTCATGTCTCAATTTTTTTCGCTGAATGTGATGAAAACATTTGAAAAGGGTTCGCTTATTGAAATAAATCTACACCAGTTAGTACTTCGATTTCCAGGTAAAGGGAAAAGGCTTATTATCTGCCATATTGGCAGTGAGGATGGATTTGTTGTTGACGGTCTGTGGTGCTTTGAGTCTAAGAAAACTGGAGATTACCACGAGGAAATGAATGGCGAATCGTTTGAACAGTGTTTTTCAAAAATTTTACCGAACTTAGAGGAAAACGCAGTAATTGTGTTGGATAATGCGCCTTATCATTCTCGAAGAATGGAGAAGGTCCCAACAACGGCTTCAAGGAAAGTTGATGTTCAAAATTGGCTCCGCTCGAAAAATATCAACTTTGAAGAAGCAATGCTGAAAGTACAATTATTAAGAATTGTCAAGGATCACAAGGCGGAATATCAAAAATACGCCATTGACGAAATGGCAGCAAGTCAAAATAAAACTGTGCTCCGTTTACCTCCATACCATTGCGAGCTCAATCCCATTGAGCTCATATGGGCAGAGGTTAAAAATTATATAGCTAAGCACAATACAACTTTTAAATTTTGTGACCTCAAAGGACTTTTCAAAGAAGCACTAGAATTAATAACAGCGCAAAAATGGGAAAACTGTATTAAGCACGTGAAAGACAAAGTTGAAAAGAGAATGTGGGAACTGGACAATATTTTAGAGGAACAAGTCGAGCCATTCATTATTGACGTTGGTGCTTCAGGCAGTAGCGATGATGAAAGCTTTCCAATAAAAGATGTAGTTCATCAAATTCGGTAAGATATAAGTAATTATAAAGCTACTGTATTTTTTAATTAATTATTGACATTTTTGAACCCATTTTGGCAAAACCTATTCAAGAATCTACTTTCTGACAATGTTCAACCATGCACATTTTTTTACGTTTTGAACGTTTTAATTTGGTTACATATTTACCTAGAAATCAAAAAATATACTAATCAATATTCTAAAAGCAATTTTAAGAGATATACGATTATTTTTAATTTAGGCTAATTTAAACGCCAGTTTGAGATTATATTCGACTGTATTTCACCAAACATCAGGCAGCATCCGAAGCTGGAAATCGAAGCGAAAATTTTGAAACCCTCATGTATATTTACATCATTATATATTTCTTACCCCACCCCCCACATGATCCTATATCCATCACCAATCGTATACACATCGAATTGTGCTAATTTACTACAAAGTTACGCAAAGCAGCATCTACTATCTAAAATATGTACTGCGTGACTCTTAATACGTCCCTGCCGAATGTTACAGCGTTCGATGATCACGTGGTCTTGTTTATGTCCGGTCTATCTCTTATCTGAATATACTGTAGGTAAAATTTTAGTATTATCATGCGTTGATACTACATACTGAATGTGTCACGTAGAATTGCAGCGTTCGATTATTCAAAAGTTGACGTAAAGCAGTTATCAAATTTTGGTTTTATAGTAACTGAAGGGAGCCATCCAATTAAAATATTTTCAAGATGGTGACACTTGCGGTTGTACCGGAAATAGATACCAATTTGCTTATCTTAGATATAACACCCTGAAATTTATTCAATTTTTTGATTTTATGCGGCATTCTAAGTACCTACATTTTATGTATTTCGTACCACTAACCGTTCTAGAGATATCTCAAATGTTGCTTAAAAAATGTCAAATGTAGGCCAGAGTTATAACATTTTTCACGTATTCTTTGCATTTGCATTATGATTTGTAACTTGTTCTTGTAGTGGAAGACGTAACTGAGCAGATTGTATTCCAGACTCATATAACGAAAAGTACAGGACAAAAAACCCAAAATGGTTATGTTTATGAGCTTGTCTACTTCGCAAATTAGTAGTTTCTCTGAGAGTATATGGAAATATTGGTTTATCTCTCATTTAAATGCTTCATTATTTGTACAGTGGTCGGTGACTGTGTCTGGTATCCGGCCTTGTGAATTCCGTCTATATATCGTAGCAGAATGAACTGAATTTTTGAGATAGGATCTTGGACACTGGCACTGACAGGTTGGCGATTGATGTCCGAACAAGACTAGCGTGATACCCCAGCTGTTCTCTCTCCATGGCTAACAGATTATTTTATGGTACAAGCCGTATGGAGCATTTAAACATTAAAAAACCATCAGTTCTAAAAAACTATTAGTTTTTGCAAAGTAGATCTTAGCCTTATACAAAATTAACCTTATTTTCAATGCTTAATACAAAAAAATATAGAGTTGGTGGAATCTATTTGACAAAATGGAGTTTTTGGGTTTTCTAAAATCTGAATTCTATTACCTTTTTTGACAATCATGTACTATTTGTTATCCAAATTCTGAATAAAATCTATTGAAGTATTAGATACTGCTACACGGAAACCGTTACCAATCGCATGGCAAAGACAAAATAAGAAAAAGAAATATAATCCATTGACCTGCATTTGACATTATGCCCTCATAAACAGTTAGACTTAAGCATGTGTGTACATGAAATGCCTTTAGAATCCATGTAGAATCTCAAATCTGAATAATGTGCTTAGTGATCCATTTTAAATAAGCAACACAACAGGGAGTTCTTCCTGATGACATTCGCAGAGCGACGAATCTTGTTTATGAAGTAAGAAATGCTCTCCATCAATTCCGCAATGAGCAATGGAACGATTTTCTGGCGAGGATGCTTGACTCAGATACTCCTCTCTGGAAAGTGGCGAAGTCGCTCAGAAAGGGAATGCGAGAAAAACTCCCGCACAACCACGGTCCTGGGGGCATAGTCTTCAGGCCAGAGGACAAGGACGAGGTTTTCGCTGATGCTATAGAACGGCAGTTTTCTCCCAACTATGATCTTGATAATGATCTCGACGAGGAGCAATAAATTGTAAGATCCGTCAGGAGATATTGTAGGGAAAACGGCGTCAGTGATCCCGGCGCCGCCATTAGTGACTCTTCCTCAGAAGATTCTTTTTCGGAAGATTCTTCAACTAAAGAGTTGCACGCAACACATCAGCGGCTTCTCCCGAGATCCCGCATTGCACACCAGAAGGGCTTCAAGGTCATATTAAAGACCTCAAGGTGCGTAAAGCACCTGGGGAGGATCAAATCACTAATAAGGCGCTGAAGCTGCTTTCACGGAAGTCCTTGACTTATCTCGTGGTTATTATCAATGCCATGCTAAGGACCCAGTACTTTCCATCGGCGTGGAAGACTGCGGAAGTTGTAATGATTCCAAAGAAGGTGGGTTCGATATTTCCACAGGACTATCGTCCCAGCCTACTGACTGCTCCGTCTAAGATCGCTGAAAAGGTGATTCTACGTCACCTTGCGAATTTCTCGTCAGATCACCATGTGATTCCTGACGTGCAATTTGGATTTCGGTCTGAGCATGGTACAGAGTTACAGGCGGTTAGGCTTGTGGAGCGAGTAACCAGGTGCTTCACCCTTACAAAAGTACTGGCATCTTGCTTCTGGATGTCTCGAAGACATTTGACAAGGAGTGGCACAAGGGCCTTCCCTATAAACTAATTCAAAAGGCCTTTCCATTTTGGCTCCTAATAGTTTTGAAATCCTTCCTTGAAGGTAGGAAATTTTTGATCAAAATTCATAATTTCTTGTCGACAGTACGGCCCATCAGGGCCGGCGTCCCTCAGGGTTCGGTTCTAGGGCCAATCCTTTACTCACTTTTCACGCATGATGTCCCTTGGCCTAGCGACTATGAAGTATATCTATATGCTGATGACACTGCACTAGTGTCCCACTCGCGTACCGGGAATCTGGTTCACGACAGGTTACAAAGTGCGGTGGATGAGGTATTGGAATGGGCAGATCGGTGGCTGATCAAAATGAATGACTCGAAAACGCAGGCTATCTATTGTACTAAAAAACGTAACGGCGCCCCGCCTGAGGCTCCAGTGAATGGAGCTCGCATACCATGGGGCAATTCTGCTAAGTATGTAGGTGTCACTCTTGACAGGGGGATGACCTGGCAGAATCATACTGAAGCGTTAAAAACTAAATTCCAAATTACGTTTCGGCAACTCTACCCTTTACTATGTAGAACCTCAAAATTAAGTTTGGTTAACAAAGTTATAAAGATGGTTATCAGACCAGCGATCACTTACGCATGTGAAGCATGATGTTTTCTTGCCAAAACGCATATGCGTAATCTGCAGGTTTTGCAGAAAAGAACCTTGCGACCCATCACTAACGCACCATGGTATGTCTCCAACGAGACCCTGCACAGATACCTCGACATTCCTTACCTAAGGGACTACATCAAACATCAGGCGCAGTTAAGTTATAGTCAAGCGTGAGTCAGTAGACTACACAGTCGAGCAATTTCACAAGCACACAAGTCCACGGCTCGCACTGTGATCAAAATCAAATCGTGCAATTCTATATCCAACCAAAATTACGATTTTTGCCACACACAAATTCCGAAATTATTTTTTGGATTAATTTAAATTAACCGAATACCATTTAACAATAGCAAGGCATCCCTTTGATAGGCGCACTTCACCCTCTTTGGTCTTCCCCCTTCCTTTCTTTCTCCCTGACTTCGTCTGGTATCTGGGCAACCAGACCTGACAGACCTACTGACCTACGACACTTTAACAAAGAGCGAAGGTCCCAGGGAGTTCCACTATTTTGAAAATAGTTTAGCCGAATTGCTTCTGTCAGTTACTATAAGCCCAAATTTTCACAGATATCTTACTCAACTATTGAGGCAGGTCTAAGAGAACAGAAGCGACATTTTTCCGCTTATTACATAATTAAGCACTGTAACAATACTCACGAATACAAACGGACTTTAACATGCCTTGTCGCGTCGCTTCAGAATGCTCGATTTACGAAAAGTATTTTCCCTCAAAAATGTCGAGTTTATTTATTAATGTTTGGTGTTAGGATCATGCAAATTTCAACTGACCTTAAAACCTCAGGCTATGAACTACGTGCAACTCGTCATCACTTTCTACTCGGATTTTAGTGTAGCATATTTGTTTATTTTCGAATAGATAAACCAACTTCATCCAAGTCCCAAGACGTCCCTGATAGTGACAACACTACGAAAGTATTGTCCAGCGCTGCCGAGGAACTAAGACGAGTATCCGGAGACGCAACTAGTGGACGCAAAGTGCCTGAACCATTCTGGGTAAACAATTGAGTGGTCAGAGTGGAGTGATATCCTTTAGAAGACTGGTTACCTGTAGACTATTTTGTTTTGTTTCCTTAAGTTATGCGTTATTACCTTCTTTGTTTCTCCTTGCTTAGATGCAATATAGTATACTTTACTAAACGTGTGTTTTTATTACTCAGTACACCACTAACTTTTAGGTTGTTATAAGAATGATATTTATGAAATAAGTAAAGATGATATAAAAATAAAATAAGACTCAGTACTTCCCACTCATTGATACAAATCCCTATTAAGACTACGCACACACACATATTTTGAACATTCTAGTGGTGTTCTTAGACGTTAGCAACTTACATGTTTAAATGACATAATTGGTCCTTCCGACAAAATTAAGAATTAAAAAGTACCAACACACCAACTACTAATTACGTGAGGCGTTTTGGACGATTTTCTGAACCTCCCTATCCTCCCCTAGCGAGATGTAGGATTTTCGCGTACCCCGACTTTTTGATATCCGGGTATCTAGTTTTCATATGATGTTTGGTCCATTTAAGTATATACTGGGTTGGCCATATTCGACGAAAAGATGTTTTTTTTTAAATCATAGGAAAAAACACATTTTTTACTGTTCATTTCAAAAATCGTTTTTTGAAAACGATATCTCTTAAATGACCTCCATGAGCCTGTACAGCGAAAAGTGCCCGTGATGCAGCATTTTCCATCGTTTTGGCCAATGTTTCGGTTGATATGGCGGCTATTTCCTGTCGGATGTTGGCCTTAAGTGCGTCTAGGGTCCTTGGCTTGTTGACATGAACCTTCGATTTCAAGTAGCCCCACAAAAAGAAGTCTGGAGCCGTTAAATCTGGTGAACGCGGTGGCCAGTCAAAATCACCATTTTTTGACATCAGACGTCCAGGGAACAATCGTTTAAAAAAATCGATAGTAGCTCGAGCTATGTGTGGTGGAGCGCCATCTTGTTGAAACCAGAAATGCTCCATACCATTGTCACGAACAATTGGCATCTTCGAAAAAGAACCATACCAGCACAAATACCGCACCAAACAGTCACTTTTTTGTCACAAAGAGGTACCTCGTGAATAATTTGAGGATTTTCAGTTCAGATAATTTTGTTTGTTTACGGTTCCGGTTAACATGAAATGAGATTCATCGCTCATGATGATTTTTTGTCAAAAATGATCGTCACTTTCAGCCATTTCGATGACTCTTTGGGCCCATTCCAATCGACGTGGCTTATCGGCAGGTAACAGGTTTTGCGTCAGTTGAATTTTGTATGGGAACAAATGCAAATCATAACGCTTTTTATTTGGACGCTTGGGATTAGTAAGTGCCTCACCTGATGAAAATCTTTCATACAAACGATACAATGTATTCGCGGAAGGCGCAGTTTTCACTTTATTTATTTTTCTCCATGGACGTTGACTTTTCACAATAATTGTGTAATTTTGATTCGGTTTTACTGCATAATCTTAATTTTAACGAATCTGCAAAAAATATCATCAAAAGTTTCTGTAATAATTTTTATAAAAGAATTCAAAAAATTGTTTTTTCGCACCGGACAAAGTTTTTCTACGGATTTTGGGTCATTCTCAGTAAAAAATATCCTTAAGAACTTTTCTCTAAGGCGCCAGTAGTTTATTACGCTGAAAAATAACAATTCTTAATTTTTATTGATACCCGGTCAACGTCATGTATTATCCGGGTCCGAAAACTCTCAGATACCCGGGTAGTCGGGTCCGACAAACCTAGTGAGATGTTGAGCGATTTGGCTTGACCCCCGTCCCTAACCCCTTCGTGAGATTTTTGAAAATCTGTAACTTTGTAAAATGTAGGATTTATTTTAGTCTGGTGAACTGGTTATTAAGATTGCTTAGATCGTTACCTGAGATGAGATTGATAAAATTCAACAATAAAATTCTTAAATATCAACTATCAAAATAATAAATGTTTATTCTAATCGTGCATGGAGACACATGGAAACTCTGTTTTACTTCAGTTTCAATCAGTTTTCGCGCAATTTTACACTGATTTTTACATGGAAAAATTACGTGATATTTGTCGAGACCCCCTTTCCCCCGCTTGAGATCAGCTGAGATTCAGCACCACTCCTTCTCCCTCTCTCCCCCATCTGAGATTAGGTGACATTCAGCACAACCTCACGTAATTAATACACGCCCCCCCTAATCTAGGAAGCAATTAAACTATAGTCAACGCCAAACAAAGTGGCGTGCACGTCATCACGATAAAAATTCCCCGACCTAATGCCTAGGTTTCTATCACAAACAATTGCTCTATTGCAGTTTCATATTAATGTGATATATAAATTGTAAAATGGTCATTACTCTCTTATTATGGTTAATAGTCATATAAACATTGTTATTAAAATATCACATAAGTTGCTTTCTGATAAATTTAGGCGCATTATGCGAAATAAAATGTTTTGCAAACGCTCCAATCACTTATCGACATGTAAACGCACTAAACCGATTTCGCAGCGTTGACACATTGTCACCTTGAAACTTATTTAAACTGGGAACTGACGTTTGTATTAATTTTGACACTGAATCAATTTGTGGCATTTCAAATCTTTATAAATCCTTTGGCCCCGCATACTGTAAATCAACAACTGTTTGTTTCAAAACAAAATTATTCATTTTACGAGTAGATAAAGGCAATTTTGGCATATAAAGATGCCCAAATAGTTAAATAGTCGGTGTAAGGAACTCGTGGCCTCGTTAATGCACTACTTTGAGCAAGAAAGGGACAACAACGGGCCTTTGTTGCCTTTAAATGCTGTTCAAGAGGTAGGTTACTAATAATTATATGTAATGTATATTAATAATAGTGAAATTTTATTTCATTTTTTGTAGCGTGTTGCTGCTGCTTTAAAAATTAGTTTAAGGACAGTTAGTCGTATTTCCGAGGGTGTGAAAAGTGATGCAAATTTAGAATCGCCCAAGAAAAAGCGGAGTTATATTAAACGTGTAACCAACACAGCGACATTGGATACAAGTGCCATTCGAGAAGTGATCTATAATATGTATCACAAAAGTAAGATCTTATTATAATAACTTATCAGAAATTTGCATTAATTTGTTAACTAAATTATAATGTCATATTACACATGGTTTCAGAAGAACAAGTTACGATACAAACTTTATGGTCTCGATTAAGAGATAGGACATTATTTGATGGTAGTGCCACGTCTTTAAGGCGGTTGCTTAGAGATCTTGGATTTAAGTGGCTTAAGGACAATCCGCGACGAGGGCTCATGGAACTACTAAGTATAGCTTTGAAAAGGGTGGAATTTCTAAGGCAATACAATCAAGCCAAGGTTGAGGCCTTATACCAGTTTGTCTTCCTCGATGAAACTTGGATATTTCAAAATGGGACCATAGGTCGCTCTTGGCAAAATGGAAACCAAAAAAGCGTGAAAGCTATTAAAACAGATGGTAAAAGGTATGTACTTTTACACAATTTGCACTATAAAATTTAAAACTAATATATTTTAGATACATTCTATTACATGCTGGAAATGAAAATGGATTTATTGAGGGTAGTGAAGCGATATTTTCTTCGAAAACAAAATTGAGCGATTACCATGGAGAGATGAACCAGGACAATTTTTTGAAATGGTTTCAACATCAGTTATTAGAAAAATTGGAGAGTCCATCTATGATTATACTGGATAACGCCCCTTATCACAACATGATATTGAACAAAGTGCCCAACAATGCATGGACAAAAAAAAATATCCAAGACTGGTTGACAAATCAAAACATACCATTTTTAAACACAATGTTTAAAACAGAGCTATTGAGTATTGTTGCTCGGTACATAATGCTTCTTAATTATATATATTTTGGTCGACAGTTTATATTTCTTTTGTTTATTCCTATTCTTAAAATAACTGCTTTTTTAGAAACAAACCACCTAAAATATACGTGATTGATGAATTGGCGGAACAACATGGGCACAAAGTTCTTCGTCTGCCTCCTTACCATTGTATATTTAACCCTATTGAGTTAATTTGGGGCATAGCAAAAGGTTACTATAACAGACATATTGGTAGAGATGGTAACAGTGAAAAAGACTGTTTGGATATGTGGAACGAGGCTCTACAAACGGTTACCCCAGACATGTGGAAAAATAGTGTTCGACATACTGAGCAAGAAATTTTTAAATGGTATGAAAGAGAACGAATTTTTGATCGACCAGACATCGAACCTTTAATAATCAACTTTGAGAGTGATGAAGATTCAGATTCAGACAGCGCTGAAGAAAGAAACTCCGACTAACTTTATTGTACAGAAAAAGCTTACACCAGTAGCTTACCTAATTTTAGAATGCATTTTTCTGTATGAATTCTGTAAAATAAATACCATGCATAAAATTTGGAGGACCCCATTTGGATTTTTATTCAGTACCTTTAAGCTATCAATTAAATATGGTAGTTTCATAGTGTCATCTGATCAATAATTGTCATACTTAATGATTATGCAAGTACAGATCTATAATTTTATTATACTATTATTTTTGTTCTCATTTGAGGTTAATATTGCTTATAAAATAAAATAAATTTTATTATTTTACAAAAAGTTTGGCAACAATGTAAATTTTTCAACACACCCACCTTGATGACGTGCACGCCACTTTGTTTGGCGTTGACTATATAATTAATTTCCGCATAATAGTTCTTTGTATGCTGAGGAAGTAAGCTTAGATCAATGTGTGTGAACTACCGAGTCAAATCTGCTTGACTTAAATGCAGTTTGAGTAGGGCTGTCATTTCCCTGATTTGTTCTAGCTTAGACAGCGCCCGAGGGCGGTCCGGAAGGGGAATCCCTGGACGCTTTTTGTGTCAGGGGAATCTTGCGAAATGTGAGACAGTGATCAAAAAACTGTTTGATTGTACACCCACTACAATGGCTAGCATCACCCCGGTACAACGACCCGCATTACCTTGTACAAGCACATTATTTTATTACTTACGGAACCAAAAATTATAATTCGTTTTTAATATGATGCCAAGTAGAAAAGTGTCTCTAATCATTATATTTGTTACCAGATTATCTCAGACTCAGACTTGAGTATTTCATTTTTTATAGTGCAGGTTTCGTCATTTTTTTCCGAAAATTGTTAAATGAATCGCTAAGAAGCTGTTGAAAATTACAGCGATGTTTTTATTTGTCTTGTGTATAAAAAAATTCCGGGCTGTCCGGGGAAAAATCTCAATTTCACCCAAACGTCCGGAGTTTTGAAATTGTTGTCCGGCATCGATAATTTAGGTGATGGCAGCCCTAAGTTTCAGCATACTTCAGTTCTTATAATGAACCTCATCTGGTGACGGAAGCACACACTACAAAACTATTGCATGACAGTTATGAATAGGCTAAAAATTAATTTTTGGCGTTCTTCAGCAAATTGGAGTGCAATCTTACTACGCTGAAAATGCTCCTTGCACAGTGATGCATTAAGGGGGGCGGCGAGGCCGGTCCGCACCGGCTTTCACCAGATAAAGGATGATACCCGGTGGCTAAACATCAAAAACAGTCAATAAAAAATAAGAAAAATATTAAATCGATTTCATCTTGTTTCGCCATAGTCGCGTCCACATGGTTTCATCTTAGACTGAACAACTTGCAACAAAGGAAAACTGGCAACGTTTTTTGCGTGATTCCAAGGCTGTCATCATTGACAACGTCGTCTGTCATGGCTGTCACCGTCGACAGCGTCGTTTTGTTATTCTGTAAATCACACCTGTTTTTATTTTTCTAAAATATTCCGAAAAAAAACAAATTTATGCTTTTTTATTTTTTGTTGGGCGGCACCACCAACTTCCACACCGGGTGCCTCCCAAGGTAGCTAAGACACTACCCTTGCAATCGTGGATGAAAGTTCGACAATCAAGGAATTGAAATTCAGAATATAATTCGATTGTCACCAAAGCTGAATTCAAAATCAAGCAGTAAAACTGACGATAGTAGTGTATCGAACACCACTGTCTCATGACTTTTGGTACTTGACTATACTGCCGTACTTAGGTTTTCAAAATTTTTTACGCCAATGCATTTGTTTTATTATTGCAATTACAAATTATATCATAATCACATTATTTAACAAAAATAGTTATTTTTTCATATTGTGAAAAATTTCATATTAAAATGCCCTTTTACCCTTTATAAGATATTATGATGTACGAGTATACTCATTTAGTTTTTGTAATAACTCAGTTATTTGTGAATGAGTACCTATCGTTATAAATAATTACCTTTGCTCCGAAAGAATAATTTTGGAAAATATTTTTCGTTTAATTTAACATATACGAAAAGAATCTGTTTTTATGTTTATTGTTGTTGAATGTGTTTATAGTATTATATTATTGTAATAACGTATATTATTAAATTGAATTATTAGATGCTGAAAAGATTTACTTTTGTGCTGTTTATGTGAATTTCCATATGAATAAATTACTTTAAAATAAAATAAAGTTTTGCATTGGGGCGTTTTTCCTTTGAAATAATGACGTAAATAAATTATGAAAACTAAGAAAAAAGGCAGTAATTTGTTTTGCAAAGTATTAAAAGCAGTAAATCACATAACTCGGCGGTCGTATAATAGTTGTATGAACCGAGCAGAGACAGCTCGCTTCTAGGGAGAAGGACCCCGTGCCCCTTGCTGAGTACGTCCATGCTCAAATGACGTAAGATCACGTATTATGCATCTAAACAGTCCTGTAGTAAAAATAGAAAATTTGGAAGAAGTTGAAAAAAATATATTTAGGACGAGTGCCAATTTATGAATGCAAGAATGTAATGTTGAATATCTATGCATTTCTTGTTAAAAAGATCAGTTTTATTTATAGTTTGTGTCTGATGCTAAAAGTGTTGCATCGGGAATTTAATGGAATAGTCGATTTTGTATCTAGGACAGAAAACTGCTCATTGCCATTGGTATTCACGACATTTGAAAGATGTGTTCTTAAATCTAATTCGTATTCAATATTCGGCACTATTCAAAATAAAATAAAATTGGAATTTTATAATAGCCTAGTAGCTTGATAGATGCCGAACATTCTAGACGTCCAGTTGAGGACGCTAAACATCCGAAACAATTGAAGAAATTCACGATATGGTGTTGGCCAAGCGAAGACTGAAAGTGCGGCAGATTGGCTCACTGGTTTCGATTTTGAATGATCACTTTGGTATAAGAAAGCTATCGTGTAACAACTTCGAGAGTGGCTTTGTTACCGCAATATTAACGAATTTTTGCCCCTTTTCTTAACCGTGGACGATACATGGATTCACCACAACACACCAAAGACCACAAGCCACTCAAACAGTCGTCAAACTGGCGAATTCGCTTCGAAGAAGGTCAAGATGGGTTTGTCAGCCAATAAAGTCATGACTACCTGCTTTTTAGATGTACGAGGTATAATCCACATTGCTTACTAAGGGATGAGCAATCAATGTTCCATAGTGAAATTGCATGAATTGAGCTATGAACTGCTATCTCCTCCGGATTTAGCCCCAAAAAAACTATTTCTTGTTTCCAAACCTAAAGAAATGGCTCCGTGAAAAGCAACGTTGAACGAAGTGTATAGAGCTCAAATGAGGCTATGTTAAGAAATAAAATTGTTTTTTTTAAAACACTGTTTAATTCAAAGTCAGGGACTTATTGACCCGCCCCCGTAAAACTGGAACATTGGCTGCGGCTTCTGCTAAAAAAATTACCTTTGGTCGGACCGTAGTTATTTTACTCCCAATTCAAGAATTGTCCCCTTGAAATACGACAAATTACCAATAACCTTATACAGGGTGGGCCATTTGGGGTGGAAGCATTTGTTTATAAAAAAAAATACATTAAAAAGAAGTCTTTTATTTTGATTCAAGGAGATTTGTTGTAATTACTTTTCAAAAATGATATCGCGCAAATGGCGACCTCTGGTCTTAATAACCAAATGTGCCTTTTTTTCGGCGTTTTCCATTATCTTGGCCAATGTTTCGGCGGATATGGCGGCAATTTCTTGACCAATATTGTTCTTGAGGGCAGCTAGACTCCTTGGCTTGTTAGCGTATACCTTGGATTTCAAATAGCCCCACAAATAAAAGTCTGGTGGCGTCAAATCAGGTGATCTCGAGGGCCAATCAAAATCGCCATCTTTCGATATCAGTCGTCCAGGGAACAATGGTAATCAACCATGTCATTTTCACAAACAATTAGCCTCAAACAATTCGTTATCTTGGCTCGATAACGCTCATCATTGACGGTTATCGCAGCTCCATCATCGTCTTAAAAAAAATACGGACCGATGACCATATTCGCGCACATACCTCACCAAACAGTAACTTGTTGGTATTAAGAGGCTGCTGTTCGATTGATTGAGGGTTTTCGAAAGCATAAAACCAACAATTTTGTTTACTTATGCCTCCATTTAACGAAAAATGTGCCTCGTCGGACAGGATGATTTCTCGCCAAAAGTCATCTTCATTTTCGGCCATTTCAATGCTCCATTTAGCAAGATCAAAGCGATACGGATAATCAACTTGGTTTAATTGATGAGCCGTTTGAATTTTGTATGGAAATCCTTACGAATTATGCGTCGGAGAGTGGTTCGAGCGACGCCTAACCCTTGAGAACGATGACGACCGGATGTTGATGGAGTCTCTTCAACACTGGCTCGTAGGACTTCGATATTTTCATCGGAACGACTTGTTCGTTGTCTGAATAGGTGACTGGGATCACTAAGACTACAGGTGTTTACAAATTTTGTGTAAAAACGTCTGATAGCGTTATCGAGCACTTTTAACTTTGTTTTTTTTACGAAACGCACATTCAGTTTTCACGGTTGAGAACTTAGTTTGAACGCACAACTGAATAATTTCAGTATTTTGGTATTTGCTGTTCCATGGTTAAAGTTGTACTGAAATGATGCTTCCAACGCGGTATGACATTAGTCGATCTAATGTCAAAGATGCTTCCACTTTAAATCGCCCACCTTGTATATTTCGTTTGTCTAATAGCTGAATATCTGCTTTCATAAGTTATTTTGTATCACAACAGCTTTGATCTCATTAAGTTTTACGATAATAATTTTATATTTAGCTCATTCATTTGAGGTCTTGAAATAAATTGAAAAAAACTCGATGCTATAACATCAATGGCTTACCGATTTCTTGGGCATACGCCAGTTTTTTTATATGCGGAGGAGAATCCTATATACTAGTTTAAAAACGGTGTGAAATTTATCAATTTCTTAGCTGAGAAAAATGATGCTAGCAGGATATGGTGCCAAGTTGGAATAAGCCGAAAATCTGTTTACATATTTGTGATTCAAAAATCTTCTTTAATACACACGGCTGTAATATAGAAGGTTCTTAGTAATTATAAAACATTTTCAGAATTAATTAGTGTTATTCGTGTTGTCTACTTTTTGATTGCGACATTGCTTCCAGAGAACCATGTAGTTACTTGAGGTAAAAAAAAAACACCAAACAAATCTAAATCACCACGATCATGCTAACAAAAAAAAATGGCGAAATGCAGTAAATACCTGATGTACTGATGAGTCCTGATGACCTACATTTATGTTATATACCCTTACTCATTTCGGTCGGACCAGCGACTGAGCCATTCCGTGCCAGACCTCATATCGAAGTTCATTAAGCCGTTTGAGCTGTAGCCCGTGAAATAGATATTTTAAAGTTATTTCCCATGGGCTATTCCAGACTATAATTTATCTCTGTATTAGATTTCATCCGGATCCCTTCAGCCATGTTGGAATAATTGAGTAAAAAATATCTACACTTTCGCATTTATAATATTAGTAACGATTCCGTCTATACCCTATGGGTACACGAGGCCCATGGCTAGGGCCCCGATTTGATGGGGTGCCCTAAATGACCAAACAACAATCAAACGAAATTTAAAAAAGAATCTTAGTACCTCTTCGCCTCCACCCCCTCTCGCCCTTAGCCAACGACAAAATAGGGCCCCTGATATCGCCCTAGCCTAAAAATTGAGATCTACCCTCCTCCACACCCTACAACCCACAACCCTCAATTTTTAGTCCCTACAAAATCTAAAACGCCAAAAAACTAAATTTGAGCTATCTTCATTCCATTTGTTTTTTGCCTAAAGCTGAGCTAGCAATCGGTCGACCCGAGGCTCGCGGGTTCTAACCTCCGCCCCGGAAGTTGATTCCGAGCCATGGATGGTGTGCTGTGTGTTGTCTATATCACGCAGAAGATCAGCGATAGGTTGAATCTGATTAATCAATAATCAGTTACTAGAAGATTTCTTGTATCAGTGTTGGTACTACTGCGTCGGCAAAAGGGTCGAATGTGGCCTAGTTTCCAAGCTTCGCCTCCCCAGTACTACTTGTCCATAGCGTCGTCGCCACAGGACCGATTCTCAAAAACTACAAAGCTTTTCCATCCTTGGCGCAGTAATAACCTTGTGTGAAAATCCGAGCAGTACTATCCAAATTATAGACATGGCAAGGAATAGCGGACCGACAAACATACCAACAGACCGACAGACAAAAAGATAGACAGACCGACGGAAATGAGCGACATAATTTTTCGTGATGTACATGTCATGTAGAATCAAAAAAACATATCTCACTTTGGATTTGTTCGTGATTACAAGTTTTCTAGTGGAAATAACTTGAATTGCGCTCGGTCTTGGATGCGGGCGTTGATCGGCTCGCGAACTCGCGACTTTCGACCCACCTCACGTTCTGATTTTCTGCACCCGACACCAAAGGCTTCCACTTTTCTAAAAATACTCGGAAATTCTGTGTGTGTGCTTTGGCGCGTCCAGCCGAACTTTCCGTGTCGAGCAGTCACCACCGACGTTGAAATCCCTCGCGAGTGTGTCCTGAGTGCAACCAATCACCATGGGGGACGTAGACGTGCACTCAAACTTCACCATCACCGAAAAGAAAACGAAGAAAGTGAAGAAAACGGTGAAGCAACGCAGGGAGAGCAGCGACCATGGACAGGAGGTCACCATCACCGAGATGAAGAATGGCCAGGGGTATGTGTGACGGCTAGCAGGTGGCACGCCATGGATTCGCCTGAAGAGTGTGCGGTGATGGCAAAGTGGAAGTGTCGCTATTTGGCTTATTCGGCTTATGTGTGAGATCAGTGCTATACTTGGATGCGGTGCCACTAGGTGGCTGTTGGTTCTGGCAACTGACTTTATCTATGGTCCAAGAGCTTTCTTTTGAAATCTAAAGGCAATTTAGATGATATGCATTATACAGGGTGTTCCTTAATGATATGCGAATATTTAAGGGTGTGAATCTACATGAAAAATTAATGTTAGTTTGCTTTATAAACTACGGTCCAAAATGTTGAAGTTTTAAGAAAAAAATGGAAGTTAATTAATATTTTCAGAACTGCTTCAGATGTTTCACTGATACTTAGTACGTAGTGAAAGTTGATAAAGTTGTATATCTTTCAATGCAAAAATAATTTTTGGCTTTAACAGTGGCGTGCGTACGGGTATTGACTTCGATGTTTTTTAAGAAAAAAATGGTATGCCAATGGTTTTTTGCTAAGTAAAAATTGTTTGAATTCCTCGTTCAATTTAAAACAACTGATCTCTCTTGAATTTTTTTCCTTCGCTGCGCCATTTTTGAGTAAAATAATAAAAACCGTTCTATTGTCTAACATGCAAAATTATTATTAATTTAACTGAAAAAATTAAACATATTAGGGATAATTAACAACAGCAACTGACAACATAAACATAACATAAAGTCCAACGAAATGATTACAAAAATTGTTGAAAATGGCCCCCTTCACTTAGTATTCATGCTTCCGCCCTCCTTCTCATGGAATTGCGCACTCGTTGAAATATCCCTGGAGTGTTTTTTATTCTATCAAAAGCTGCAACTATTCTTTCTCTTAATTCCTCCACAGTGTTAATGGTACTTGTGTACACTAGTGTCTTAAGATAGCCCCACAAAAAGAAATATAAACTGTTGAGGTCTGGGTACCTTGGTGGTCATTCTTGGGGCCCACCGCGGCCAATCCAACGATTTGGATAATCAGTTTGTAAATAATTACGAACCGCTACACTGAAATGCGCTGGTGCATGTACCACATATTGTTTCTTATTAATAACGGAACATCATCAAGCAGCAAAGGTAACTGTTGTTGAAGGAAATTGAGGTGAGTCTGTCCGTCAAGTCGTCCCGGCAAGAAGAATGGGTCAATAAAGTGGTTGCCGATAGTTCCTGCCCATACGTTAACCGAAAATTGGTGTTGGAAATGGGTTTCGGTTACGGCATAGAAATTTTCTTCTGCCCTCAAATGATTATTGTGGAAATTCTTAATGGCATTTCGAGGAAAATTAGCTTCGTCCGTGAACAGAATCATTGATTCAAATTGCGGATTTTGTGTAATTTTTTGAAGATACCACTGACAAAAGGTCACACGCCTTGGAACGGGAAGTAATGTATGTACTCTTAAAATATGGTAAGGATATAACAAAAAATCCACTAAAATTCTCCAAACAATTTGATGGCAAATATTTAAGTGTCTAGCGATCTTCCTCGTACTCGTTTCAGGATGTTCTTCGACTTTGTGCGGCACTGCTTCCTCAATTTCAGGTGTTCTCACACTTAGAGGTCCACCTTCAATGTTCCTTTTCGGACAGAACCAGTTTCAACAAAACGACGATGAATATTAGAAAAGGTTCGACTATCTGGCAAAGCACGATCGGGATATCTCTGGTGATAAATCCATCTGGCTTGCTCACCATTACCGTCGGCAAGGCCATATACGTAATGCATTTCCGCCATTTCTGCATTTGAATAATTCACCATTATTAACAAGATTGTAAAAACTAAATAATGCAAAAGTTGTCACAGCGAACAGATTTGAATAACAGAGACTTGTCAGATGTCAAAAGCCAGTGACATATTCCAGAGCAACTAGATATTTATTGCTAAATTGCATTCTTCAATTATTACATTAATTTTCTCGGACAATATAACGGTTTTTATTTTTTTACTCAAAAATGGCGCATCGAAGGAAAACAATTCAATAGAGATCATTTTTTTTAAATTGAACGGGGAATTCAAAAATAATTTTTATTTGGCAAAAAACCATTGGAGTACCATTTTTTTCTTAAAAAATATCGTAATCAATATCCGTACGCACGCCACTGTTAAAGCTAAAAATTATTTTTTCATTGAAAAATATGCAACTTTATTAACTTTCAGTAAGTACTAAATACAGTGAAATATCTGAAGCGGTTCTGAAAATATTAATTAATTTCGTTTTTTTTTCCTAAAACTTCAACACCCCAAGTTTTTGTGAGGAAACATTTTTGGGCCATAGTTTATTAAGCGAACTAACATTAATTTTTCATGTAGATTCACACCCTTAAATATGCGTATATCATTAAGGAACACCCTGTATATACCGTCTGAACAATTTCGAGTCTCATAGAGTTGAATATTTCAGCCAAATGAAAAGTCGTGCCTTAAAATGGTTTAAAAACTGTGGTAATATACCTAAAACGGAAAGGATATCAGGAAATAACAGGCGATGCTATATCTTCGAAATACAGAGTGCTTGAATTTAGAAAAATGCTTCTACAGAGCCGATCGAAGTACCAACCCAAAAGTTTTACCCGAGTAGAAGCAATTCACGATATTTTGGCCGCTACATTAGACCAAGTGTCTAGGGAGTCGTTCTCCAATCCTTGATGGAAAAATGTTGATTTCACTTATTGAGGAAAATTAAAAGGTTCATTTTTCATAGATTGTATTTCCTCAGGAAGGAAATTTAAAATTTATTTGAACTTTTGGTTTGCTTTCTAATGTAATTTCTGCTATAGAAATACCGCTGCTATTTTTTTAATTAGCCTTCATGTAGACCGTCCGCGATATCTTCCGAGCACGCCTTTCGCTGCAAAAAAACTCTCGGAACTAGTAACAGTTTCGTTATACTTGATTTGGTGATGCTATTTTATAAAATATGAAGGAAGGGAAAACAGTGAAATGATAGAAAAAACTAGTTCCTGCGTCTCTAATATACAAAACCAACATTATTACTGTTTTCTTATGACCGCCACATTTGATTTTAATTTTTTTCCATGATACTTTAAAGCTGAAAGACACAAAAAAGCACGCTATTTGAATAAAAATACTGAAATCAAAATTGCTCTAATTACGCGATAAATTATAAGTTCTAAAATATTTAAAAAGTGTCTGTGTTTATAAATAGAAAATGATCCACATTGTATACACAAGTTTTAACAGGAGCGGTATTTTCGATCTCAAAGTGAAGCCTTGTGTATGTCGTCATATGAACTCGTTGACGTGAATCTATGAGAAGCGTGGCAACTGCACTTGACAGTTCGACATAGTTCAAAGCGACGGACGTCAAAGTTCTAAAGCATGAACTCCTTCAGGTTATCAGGCCCTAAGAAGATTGCGGTCTTTACTGGTGACCATAAATACTTAACGTCAATCTCTACCAGTTACTTACAAAATTTCGGTGGTTACACGCCAACAGTCTTAGCGCTAATTTATGCATGCGATTTGTGTCGCGCGACAGTGATTATATTTTTATTTTTTTTTGATTTTAGTATGTTTATACACGCCCAACTCAGGTAATTTTATGCACCTGTTAGCTATATTTCACACATCATAGATTTCCCCGTACTTATAACCTAGAATGATAGAGAAATATTTTCGGTCTGCGTACTCCTGCTATCTAGGCTCAGAACCCGACGAACCGGTCCGGCTGACTAATCTATCCGTACTGCATGGCAAAAAACATACACGGACTACGTACGAAATGAACGATAGCGATGCTGCGCAGATGTGGAAAGAGTCAACTTTTCCAGATGACAGTAACTACCGGTAGGGTAGGGAAAGAATGTCTTGTATGGGCCAATTTGGCTCACTTAACCCGTTTAATTTCCCTATTGTACATGTTCGTAACTGACTTTTTTGTCAAAACCTTCCAATTGCGATGAACTTTGTGAACTGTTGACGGCGTTGCGAAGGAAGTGCAGAGTCAACCTGCTTGACGCCAAGAAGACTGCCTTGTACTACTTTCCTCAAAGAATCCATACGCGTTCTCATTTTGATTGTTGTATCTATAGAGAACATCAAGCGCATCACGCATCCAGTTAGTAATTGATAACCTGCTCTTCCAAATTGTATGGTCATAAGGAGGTATGTGATTCGCAAAAGCCGTCTTCTTTTGACAAGTCACCTGTCATTCCTCGCTGTTAAAAGTAAACAGCATTTAAATCAATGCAAATGTATACACGAAGGACCGCTTTCAAAGCGCTTTGCTTTGAGAACGAAAATACGCTAAGCTACTCCAGAGCATTTCAAAATTGCCCGAATTAAAGTTCATATGAATCAAACTTTACAAATGGATAAATGTGTATCTTAACTAGAAAGAGCCTATGTTAATATTGTTCAGTTCTGCCTGTCGTAATGACTCACAGTAAGCCAAGCTTAAACGCTGTCAACTGGGCTGGCAATTGGCCTGTCGGGCCCTTTTTATAGAGGCATAGTGTTTCGCTATATGACTTGAGTCATAATGGTTTTGGGACTTTACTCTCCTATAAAGTTCCCTATGTTCTATTTCTGTTTGCTCTATATCTCACATTCTGAGTATCGCCTCGTATATCTATTACAAATTCCTCTGAGTCACTATCGCATATTTACGATGTTTACCGACAGGTGTATACCCTGTGTACTAAATAAAACACACCATTTGCAAAAAGTTTGGCAGGACTCGACGCAACGTGTACTTGACACATCTTATTAATTGTTTTGTTGTCACTCCCACCTAATTTTTATTTTTACATTCTGACTGCTCAGACGATTACAAAATTTATACAATATAGCTGTCGTTGAATTTGTCATTTTTCAGAGTTTTTGAGAAATACGAGTGCCGTTCTAGGTATTCCTTCAAAAATAATTATGTATTGTTAATTTAGTCGGTATAATTTTGATAGTGCTACGATGTCAGTAGTATAGGTGTTATCCTCAAAAGCTTCTACATCTATTATTAGTAGACTATACAATTCAGTGAAGTGAATTCTATACTCCAAGACTCTGAAGACATGATAATTCCTAACTCATTCGTTCTTAATTCAGAATTCTGTAAATAAGTGATGAGACGTATTTTTTTAATTTTATTATTCAAATGTAATTACAATTTTATATTGCAACCCTCAAAATAGCTTCATTCTAAAGCCTCACAGCGCTGGAGACGATTCTTCCACTCCTCTGGCATTGGCAAATGATGTGTTACGCTCTATTCTGTTTTGATACCCGAGAATAATCGTAAAATTAGTTCTACAGCATCCTCAATGGTAAAAAACATTTAGTCGTCAATGGTGCTACTCATTACGACCTTTGGATGCTGTTATTTCTTTAAACGACGAATTTATTCCATTTTAACTGGTCCATCTCCACATAAAAACAACATAATATAACTGATCTCACACAGACAGCCCAACTAGCAGTCACTTCCACTTTGTACACTTACATGGATTGAAGAAAATTTGCCATCTCACATACCCCTGTATAAACAAAAGGTAGTTAAAAGATGCATTGCGCTGTTATACTACACGAGCCTCTAAGCCTAACGTTTTTGATGCGATATTTGGCTATAACTATGGCAACTATACCCCAGTCATCATGACCATATTATTGCATATCTATCTTAATGTATTTTTGTCTCTACAGGGTGAATGATAACTACGTGGTGACTAAAACATATTTGTTTTGTAAACGCAATGGCCTACATTTTATTGCAGACTTGGATAGAACCTTTCAAACGGAGCAATTTGATATGACATATCATAAGGTTTTATTTTCAAATTGTTAGGATATTGGACAATACATCGAAAGAACACGCAGCGTTCACAACTCGCACCTCCGCAACTGTTATAGCGAGAGTACTAAATTTTGTATCAAAAAACTTATGATCCCGTATTTTCTCCCTACCTACCTACTTCTTCAGTTTGTTTGATCAGTGATACAGGGTAGCCAAGGACGCAAAATTTCAGTATGGAATACATGTTTATTTTTATATATTTTTGATCCCCCTTTTTACTATTGTTCTTTCGATGCCAGGTTTATGGGGGTTTTTATGAGACTGGTTTTTCAGTTAAACTAACATTTTTGTAAATCGGACATCATGCTAAATGTACTGTGTGATGTTTATCCCCCACATGATATTCGGTATTTTTGAATTGGTTCTTAGGGCCGTATCGTCAATCGTTCCTACCAGTATTTATTGTAGGACGCCTTTATGGCCTCCTTGATTTTCATAGCCTGTTGTCTTATTCAGAAAGCCTAGGATATTTCTAGATGCCTACTGTTCTGTATCAGCGTCAGCGCTCTCCTATTGTCAGGCTATGTTTTCTTTTTGAATTATATTAAAATTTAGGCTAGATAACCGATGAAATAAATCAAAAGAATGAACATTTTGATGCAAATAGATATTTGTAACATAACCTCAAAACAGAGCGCTGACACGGAACAGTAGAAAATTATGAAGATCAAGGAGGCCATAAAGGCGTCCTGCAATTGAAGGAACGACTGACGATACGGCACTTAGTAAATATAGTTTTGGTTCTTTCATGTGTCTCGTATTTAACCGACCCGGTACACGTAAGGCGACCCATTTCTTTCTGAGCTTTCAGTTTTAGGTGCCTGCGTTAGGATACCGCTTCGGATATATCCAGGATGCAAAAAGGCAATTTTTTCAACATTGTTGTGGCGATGAATTACCTGTTTTTATTTCAATAAAAATCAGTATAGAAATCACTAAAAGCTACTGATTAATCACAAGGTATGGAAAAATATGTTTTCCAACTCAGAAGCATATTGTCGACTAACTTAACTTTTCCAGATAACATGTTCTAATGGAGCTATGGACCGGTCATGCACTAAAAATACATGTACGCCTTCGTGACTATTCAACTTTATTGCGTAAGGTTGGGTAGATTCGATTTATCATGGAAATACACCAATTCCAAGAATCTGCGATTACCAATTAAATGCTATTTTTTATTTTGAAAGATATTGTAATATTTTTCATTTACCTTGATATCTGATTCACAAAAAAGGTTAGCAGTAACTCAAAAATTAATCGTACATACTTCTTAAACAACGAAATATGTGAAAAGGGAAATTAAAATATGTGTTCCTTTTGAAAATTAGAGAAATCGTTTATTTTGTGCTCTTAACTACCCTTCCTGGTGAAGTAAGAGGATACGGGAAAGATATGGGACCACTGTAGCTGTTAACAGGTGATGAGATGGGTTTTATTTCTTAAATATCATTCCATCCAAATGTTTGCCATCCCTTCGGAGACGCACTCTTCTAATCGCGCGCGCAAATTCTGAAACACTCTTTTGCAGAGTTCCAGAATGATGTTGTTTATTTCTCGTCGAATGTTCTCTTTAAGCTCCTCAAGTGTTCGTGGATTATTGGAATACATTTTTGACTTTAGATAACCCCACAAAAAATAATCGCATGGCGTGAGGTCGGGTGACCTAGGAGCAGTGGCGCTCCCAGGATTTCAGTCTGGGAGGGGTAAAATGGAAAGTAAATTCTCAGTGTGACGTACTGAAGTGTTATAATGATTTAACATTAAAAGCATGGACATATGCAGACATATGAATTTGTTACAGTAATTTCTGTAGAAAATACATACATTTTTTTTAATTTTGAGTCATACGAAATCAAAGTGTAAATAAAGCAAACCAAGCTCGAGCAATCTTCATATATTAAAAAAAAAATGCAAAATAATATAACCTATCACAGACTTTGCTACATAGACAAAACAACAAAAAATACATCTTCAAAAAATAACAATTACAAATATGTTACGACTTCTATAAAGTATAAAACTGAATGTAAATCAAAATAAAATCTTTAATCATGAGAAAAACACAAAAATATTCATTGCATAACTTCACTCTCTTAGCCAGTCTCCAAAAACAAAAACATATAAACTATGAAACTACATCAGTTCACAGTCTCAAAATAAAACAATCATTAAATTAGCTTAGAAAGTGATTTGAACAGACTTTTATACACATCTGCTGGCCAATAAATAAAACCACATATCTTGATTGGATACTTTGGAAAAGATCACCGTGGTGATTTAAACGTAAGTAAACCCTTAACTACACCTGCATTTTTATTTATTGGCCAACAGAAGAGACATGGATTTGAGAGACAATCTCAGGCGAAGTTCAGGTGTTATCATATCACAAAATCAAAGGGGCACTATTCTTTTTGCTGGCGAACTGATCTATGATTGTATTCGCGTCTATTTTAATATCCCTATGCATATACAAAAGAGCTATACCCACGAATCGCTCTTGTAACATAATGGAGCGCAGCCAAGTTTTTATCCTCTTTAGATGGTAGGAACTTCTTTCAGATGTCGCAACACTTACCGGCAATGAAATCAATAATAGTGCCATTTATTAACTGAAGAAAACATGTTTTCATCACATTATAAACACAGTGACATTCCATTGTCTATAATATCTTGTGTACGTGATTTCCAAAGGTCAAATTCTGCTTTTAATCTGGTACTTATTAAATTTTTGTTTTCGTTACTATTTAGTCCATGCACATTTTTAGAGATTGTTTCTAATATGTCCATTACTTCAGCTCCAGTTTTTGAATTAAATTCTATGATTTCATTTTGGATGCGGCTGCTTATGTACGTAGCATGCCCTTTTGAGTTCTCTAAGGTTTTTTTTCAATAAATTGTCGCCGCTCTCGACTCTAAACCGCATTAGTTCTCTTAAATTCCCTTCATTACTAAGGACATCCTCGTCATTCGTGCTGTCATTAGAAAAAAGTCGTCCCCTATCTCTAAGCCCTCTAAGTGGTACATTTTGACGTCCTAAAAAAATTATAGATTCTATTATAGGAGTCAATCTTTGCCGATTTCCTGATACTCGCTCAATTCGCTCTCAACCTATTATATTTCTTATATCATTCTCTGGATTTTCGTAAATCTTTAAAAAGTTTGTAGCATCTGAAACTGCTTCTGTATGATATATTGAGTTCTGATGTGTCTCACAATCACCGGTTTTTCCATATAATTTCGAAAATTTCTTTAGTGGCACGGTAACAAGTTTTCCCAATTTAGTTGATTTATGTACTCCTCCTAATTTTGCAAAAACCACGCAATATTTACAGAAAAGCCCTTGTAGTTCCTCTGAATATGACAGGAAAGGAAATTTCTCAAAGTGTTTTTTTGATAAGTAACATTTCACTTTTCAAGTGTGTGGAATAGGGATATTTGAAAGAGTCATTAGGGATCATTGCACACCTGAATAAGGATCCTTTAGGTTTCCCACCCGATTGTTCAACACTTGGTTCAGCATACGGTGCAACATCAAGAAATTTTGAAGTGGAAGGCTCAGGTTGAATTGTAGGATTATCATCAGTTTTTTCCGGTAATTCTTGCGGCGGTATATCAGACACTTTGTTTTGTTTAGAAATTAACCAATCGATGGTATTCTGTTTCCTTTTACTCATCCTGACAACAGCAGCCGTCAACCAGCACTAAAAGTTACATAAATTTTGTCAAATAAACGACTTTATTGGTTTCCACGCATTCATGTATCTCACAACAAAGAACCTTTTCTGTTTGAAAAACAAGATTTCTTAAGTTTACGCAATTTTCTAAAACTAAATTACAGTGCTTATATACAGGGACTTCCGAGACAAAATAAACATAGATAATAATGATAGCTGGAGTATGGACCAAACACTTCGTAATTGAAATTATATTAAATTTCCATTTTTCCGTCTCTCATTTTTTAGACACGATTCTTTTATAGTATAAAAATTAACAACAAACAAAAATTAATTTTCTGGCTTATGGTAGTAAATAAGAAATCAATAGAACATAGAAAATAGCGTTAATACCAACCAGATCAACAAAACTCCGCTTGTTCACTTCTCATCCAAATTTTGTTGCGGACTCCGGACTGGAACAGAATTTAGACACTAGATTAGACCATAAAAGATTAGACTATACCTGTTCCAACAGGAAGAAGCGCACACCGTTGCTGTTGGTGGGAGAGTAGTCGCATGCGCACTGAGCAGGTTGGCAGTGTTGCCGCTATCCTTTCTTAAAGTTACAGATTTTTTTATAAGACGTTCACTTTATACCACCTTTTCAAAGACTGCTCGAGTCGTCTAGGGGGTAATTATCCCCTTTACCCCCTCCTCCCCCCCGTGAGAGCGCCAGTGAATGTCTCCAAACTTCGATATAACTTTTTGAGGAAAAAGTGCTTTCACCGTCGATTCTCTTGAAGTATGGGCAGTGACCCCATCCTGTTTAAACCATGTGTTTCTGTTAAATCGACCTTCTGTTCTTACAATAGGAGCACAAAAAAAGTATCAACCATGTCCATGGATCGCTCGGAATTGACAGTCAACGCATGACCGGTTTCATCTTCAAGGAAATACGGCCTAATAATACCGCTAGAGGATATGGCGCACCAAACAGTCACCTATTGTTGATATTTCTCTTTTGGGTTTGGTGCTCAATATCTGCAATTTTGCTTGTTCACATAACCGTCTAAGTGAAAATATGCCTCGTCACTGAAAACAACCTTCTCGAGTCTTGGCAGCGTACGAAAAAGATTCAACATCCGTCCAGCACAAGATTTCCATAATACGTAATCACTTTCCTCTAAAGTGTGTGTAAAGTAGGTGTGATGCCAGGAATGGGTTGACTAAGAGTAGAGCCTGTTTCACGGAACCTCTTAATCCACTTTTTCAATAGGTTCTTACTTAAGGCATCTCTTGGCTGGCGAATGTTGTATCGTGTACATAATTTCCGAAGTACAGCTGCGTATGAATCACCGCTCTTAAAGTAAACCTCGATAGCAAAAGCACGTTGCGCTCCAGTCCAACGTTCCATTGTGACTATTTAACCTGCACGCCGAACTCGTCGATCAAGACCTCTCCCCACTTCCTCGCGTATACGGTTGCTGCGTAAGTCAAATTTGAAATCTGAACTTTCCCGCTGGAAATGACTTCGTTTGAAAGACACTATATAAAAAATGTATTTTTGATTAACGACGTAGTTATGAAGCATCGTGTAGAGGTAAAAATATTTTCCAAATAAGGAGCAACAATTTTTGTAATGAATTTTTTTAAGAAACCATCCGTAACAACGGAGTTATCTACCGAGTCCACACTAAAAACTCATCCAGTATATCAACAATATCGAACATATCTAACTTTTTTGGCCGGGTCATACTGAAAATATGTCCGTATGTTGCTGACTACTCTATAGCAGCTAGACAATGCAGTAAAAATGTAGCCCGTTTAGAAGCAAAGCAGAATCATAGAAGTTAAGTTGTAAAAAATCAACAAGAACAAGTCGATATTGGAATGAGATAAAATAAGCCGTGAATGCGATATAATATGCAGTGCATGATATTATTAACAATTTTTTAAGAGCTATGTATAAGCTATTTCGTGTGGAATCTGACGTTCAAAAATCCGCCGTGGCTTCGCGTAGATCCGGCTAAATTTGAGTTTAATAATTTGGATGCATTGCGACTTACTTAGATAGATATGCAATTTTAGGAAACCTTACTAAAAATTCATAGGGTAGAATCGTACCTTTCTGGTAGCCAGTTTACCCCGCTATTAACGTATTTATGAAGAATGACTAGTGTGACTTTTGTTGTGGGACACTTGAACCCATTCTGCTGGATCCTCATGTCGTTCCACGTCCATGGCGTTCAATTTCATCCAAAGAAGTTCATTTGAATTGACCTGTAACGCACGTTGTTGACGAGGTTTGAACGTCGCCAATCCAGAAGTCACTCTACTTAGTAACTTTATGTGGATGCATTGCTACCTGAAGTCGCCAAGATACTAATAAGTTGCATTCCATTTATAGCTGTGCTGTCAAATACAATGTCGCCCAGGCCTTGCTAAAATTCAGCAGAACTATTGTAAATAAATTGGACCTCTCGGGTGCGTTAATCTGTAGCTTCGTGCTAAATGTTACATGACTATTTCAATTAATTTTTTAAAACAAGCTGCTTTTATTTAGCTGTTCACCAAACCAACTAAAAATTTAAAAATAATTCTCGATTGGAAATATTGAAATGCATGTTACACCATTTTTCAATCATGCTGTCCAAACCTAACACGCTTTTATTCGAAAACTTGAGATGAATGGGCTTTATTATCGTTTAAATATTTTCAGTCGGAAAAACATATTTTTAAATGTTTAGTTCATTTTACGTATGTACAGGTAAATAAGTTAGTAGTTTTTTATATTATTAATTTTTTACTTTTTAGTACATCCTACTATGGTATCAAATAACTAGTTTTCTAATTTCTATATAGCTTTCATATGTGTTAATAAAAGGAATGCATAGAACTTCTCACTTTATTTGTATTATAAAATTTCGATAGATATAACCATATTATGATGGTTGATATTTTGCGGCGATCGCCGTATGGCATTTAGAATAACGTTATTTGCTTATTGCGCTTCCCTCATTGATCCCCTTCATTTGATACCATATCATAGCGGTGACCATCGAAATTATAAATCATCATTCAGCGGCGGCCGCCATGTTGGATCTAGATTGGCGTCACTTTGCTTATCATGTTTCCCTCACCAAGCCTTTTCATTTGATATCCATGTCATAGGGGTGACTGTGGAATGTGTAAATCGCCATTTTGCGGTGGCCGCCATATTGGATTCAGAATGACTCCACTTTGCTCATTATATTTCTCTCATCAAGCTCTTTCATTTGATACTCATATCGTTGGGAATGATGAATCGTTATTTTGTAGCATCCGCCATATTCTATTCAAGGCAGTTGATTCGTTTTTTTATTGTCACGCAAACCAAACGTGTGTATAAAAAATGTCAGCTCAATTGGTTAGGGTCAACTGGTTCAAAGTTGTGAAAAAGAATTTCATGAACGCCTCTCAGTCTCTCACATTGTTTTATTGTCCAATTTTACCCATCTCTATCGTCTACTTGTGTGAAAGGGATGGCTTTTTGTCGGTCTGCAGTGTAATTAATACGGATTTTGCTTATATAGATCCAGACTAGGCAGATTGTATATCCTTTCTGAAATTATAGTGATTTCTGTTGAAATAATTTCGAGATATCGTATATCATAATACGTTAATGACTTTCTTAAAAAAATGTTTAACGAATATCCGTTCAGACTTTCGCATATGAACCTTTTGATACGATTTAGAATAGAGGTTCCAATTGAAATTTCAGGTGATGATCCATAATATCTAATTTACGTGAAGCATATTGTAAATCTCGAAAGTCCCACAAAATTAGATCATGAAATATTCTAGCATTCTTATAGTCACATCGAATTGAGTTGTTTAAAAGTTGTAACTATATATTTCTCACTAATTTTAGCATTCGTATAAATGCTTGCACTCATTTTCCCAACCGCATGTCTCGTACCTAACAGTTATATTTATAATCTATGGAGATATGCCAAAAATTACATCAACAGCAGATTGGTAAAATCGTTGTTATCACTGAACTGTTTAAATTCACTAACCGGAAAAATCTGCTATTTTGGGATACAATGAATACACACGCGAATTTCAAATCCTAATAAAGTACGTGTAGAGCAAGATTCCATAGCCTTCATACCTGAGCCACTTTACAAGAACCAAAAGTTAAATCTCTTGATTATCAAAAATGGGGTTGCTTGGAAAGATTTGTGGAAGTTCTGGAAAGCTGGTTCCTTCATAGATTTCGATGTGCTCTCCGAATTTCAAATTTTTTCCTGCTCGTGCCGCCGTATTGGAAACGTGTCACCTGTTCATTCTATAACATCGACTTCCTGCGACAAAAATAAACATATGAAAACTGCCAGAGAAATATTTCTACGATTTATGTATTTAGCATTTCTTGTATGATGAATAGTTATGGCATACAGGTGTGCTGCAAATGGATATAGGAAAGTTTCAAAAATCATGTTTTTTATGGATTTATTTATTTTCACTGTAGAAATACTCGGCAAACTGTTTTCTAGGATCATTTTTTTCAATATAGTGGCGCGAGCGTAAAAGATACGAACTGTGGAAGTGAAAATACGAAAACACACATTGAGCTCTATTAGGATATCAAATGTCCAAGTCTGCCCCCAAAGCGTTTCAGGTAAAACTAATGAATAATTTGACTAAAAAAATAACTTGAAGTCTGCATAGCTTGTAAACTAGTTCCTTTTAGAGAAAAATGTAATATGCCATTTGTACTTGTAATGGTTCTCTTAGGCACCGGATTCGAAATATTCATTGCAGCAGGATGCTTGTAAAGTGCTTAGTATATGTAGGCTGATTATTTATGGATCGAGCTTTGGTATTGCCTTCTTTGATTAGGTAGTTGAGATATCAGAAGGTCGTATTCCCATATTATGTTCGCAAATATTACGACTTTATAATCTTCCACCATCCGAACTATTGTTTACTTCCTACGCCACTGGGCGAGGAAGTGTGTAATCGTGAAAAATTTCGAAAATGAGATATGCTTTTTGGATGTTATACGACATGTAGACTACGAAACAACATGTCACTCATTTCCGTGGGTCTGTCTGTCGGTTTGTCCGGTTATCCTTAGACCCTCTACAATTTGAAAAGTACTACTCAGATTTGGATAACAGTTTTTGAAAATCGGTCCAGTGGCGGCGGAGAAAAGAGGCCAAAAATAAAATAAAATCAGAATAGCGCAAACATTATTATTTGACGTTTCAGAGGATCCTGGCTGTTTTTGAAAAATATTTTTGGGGTAAAAAATTAGGGATGAGGAGCTGTAGGGTGGGGTGAAGGTTATATCGTTCCCCGTACATTTGTCTTTAAAACTTAGAATAGTAGAGACATCTTTTCGATACGCGTCTTCTTCTGCTATCTGGGCTCAACGCCAGGCGTAACGGTCTACTACTTGATTACTCTGCTCGTACTGCCGCCGTGCTTCGTTGGACGCTGCCTCGTCTGAAGGTATGGAAAGAACCGATGGTGATGCTACGTAGGAATTGCAGAGTCATCCTACTCGACGCCATTTTTTTTAATGTGGTGTAGCGTAGGTATCAACTTTAAGACCGAAAATGGGCCTAAGGACCTTACATCATCGATAGTTTAAGATAATTATTGGCTGCAAAAATTTTGTACAAATATGATTTGTCATCAAATTCAGTACACCATTTATCTAAGAGGACGATGTGCGAGTTATCAATCTTATCAATAAAACAGTGAGTTGTTTATAAAATTGTATGTATTGTATTCCAATATGCAAAATGTTTAGAATCTTCGCTAGCTGTGAAGGTAATTTAGAAAATGCATTTTTTCAAACAACTATTTGGACTTATTAGTATTTTGCTAATGTAATATTTATTATTTCGATCACAGAAAAAGTAAATGAACATTTTTTCTACAATTGAACAATAAACATCCAAAGATCTGTCTATTTTTAAGTTATATTTTGAATTCCATTAAACAGAAATATAAATTAATTTTTTTTGTCAAACTTTTATTTTTAGAGGATGTAAGGTTCAATAGTGTTATCTTTTGTTCCAGCTAATTTTCAGCGGTGAATACACAAAGGCTATGAACAAAGACTGGCACGGTCAGCACTTTTGCTGTTGGCAGTGCGACGAAAGCCTGACTGGCCAGCGATACGTGCTCAGAGATGACCATCCGTACTGCGTATCGTGCTACGAATCCGTCTTCGCCAATGCATGCGAGAAGTGTAGTAGGATCATCGGCATAGATTCAAAGGTAAGACGCTCAGAAATGTTCTGCATTGCTTATTCTCAGTGCCTGATTAAGCCAGGGGGATACGTTTTTATGGTCACAAACCGCTGGTGCGCGAGGCTTGTAGCACTTGCTACTCTTGTCATGTAGCTAATCCGCCAATGTTTATTTTCTCTTGGACCTGTGCGAAAATGCTGCCAGATCTGCCGTTTCGAGTATTCGACTACCATAATAACACTTTTTATTTGCTACTGGCGGGGAAGTATTGTAATCGGGATAATTTTTCGAAAATAATATATTATGTTTTTTGGATATTAAATGACATGTAGATCACGGAAAATCTTGTCACGCGTGTCCGTCGGTATGACTGTCTGCCTTGTCGGTCTGTTCGCTAATTTTTAACCGCCTATAAATTGAGAAGTACCGCTCTGATTTCGATGAAATTTTAACACAAGGTTACTATATGTCAATGGCGCAAAATCTTTATGTATTTGAAAGTCAGTCCAGTGGCGGTGGAGAGAAAGACCAAAAACGAATGGATAAAAACCGCTCAAAAACTTCGCTTTTTGCGTTTCAGACGATTCTGAACAATATATGATATAAATTGTGTTTTTTCAATTTTTTATAGGATCTGTCGTACAAGGACAAACATTGGCACGAAGCATGTTTCAACTGCACAACATGCGGCGAATCTCTCGTAGACAAACAATTCGGATCAAAGGGAGACCGAATCTACTGCGGCAGCTGCTACGACCAACAGTTCGCTTCCAGGTGCGACGGATGTCACGAAATCTTCAGGGCTGGTGAGTCATCTGATTCTTTTTTTACAAAGTAGCGCTTTGAAAATATAATACGTCTTCTGGACTTTCTTCATGTTTACCATCGATATTGCATATATAACAAACTGTTCTGCCCCCTTTCTGCTTTGGAGTTTATTGTTATTTCAGAAAATGAGTACACGGTGTTGTCATGGCTATCCAGATTAAGAGCAATCGCGCATAAGTGACTGTGTGACAGTTGCATTTCTCATTTGCATTTTTAACACTCTTTCATTAGCTTGGCCTATATGTATGTATCTTTGAGCATAATTTTCATCAATTTGCAGAGGTTTGATTAATTTGAAACTTTGCACACGTATCAAGGACCGATGACAATGCAATAATTTGATAACAGCTTCCCACTCTCCTTATTAGGACCGTCAGGATTGATAAATTGTTTCATAGTTCCTCTGTAGGGGAGTAAGAGAGAGAGCTAACGCGCGATCTGCGCATGCGTGCAGTTTCGGACTTACTCTTTGTTGTTGGGACACTGGGCACAGCACAACGGAGGCAGATACTTTTTCAAGGTAGTGCATTCTCACCTTGTTCATTGCCGATGTTGCCATAAATCCTGAGTTGGTCTTCGATCGTCCACAGGATGCAAGGTTTTACAGTCGATATTGCAGTCATTTATCTAGGCTTGCGACTGTTTGCTGCTGGACAAGCTCTAAGTTAACAGGAAAAACCCCATGCAACAGTGAGGCTATAAACAAAATGATAAGATTACGAAATGATTCGTAAGACATTTCAATACCACATGTCCACAAAAAACTAATTGATAAATCGAAATAAAAAATGAAAAATAAATAATAGTTTAAAAACTAAAAAAAGCACGCTTTTATATTATAGATAATCGAACTAAAAAGCAGAAAATAATTTTTAATTACAAGTGTTTATATTATAGTAGTAGATGGTCGAACAATCAATCATAATTAATAAGCTCAATATAAAATTATAATAAAATTTTTGTTATTAACAGAATAATTCAATTCAAAAAATTATTTTATACTTTTTAGTACGGTTAGATATAAAAGCGGTTTTTTAGTTTTCTAAACTATTATTTATTCTCTGTAGGTTTTAACCCATTTGATCCCACGATTTTTTTTCTCGAGAAAAACAGTTTTTTTTATATTTCCTGCTTGATTTCTTATTTTTAAAAAAAAATGAGGTGTACTCATGCGAGTACAGTGGGCTAATTAGATATAAACTACGTGAAAATGAAAATGTTTTATTTATCACTGCTAGTAACAAATTATGAAAACTTATGCTATAACTAACAACTATGGAATTGTATAAAACAATCACGTTCCAAACACAGAGTGACCTGACATTTTATGCACGTCCAACGTACTCTTTGGTGGCATACTCGGCATCGGAGTTGTTTGTCTATTTTTTGGGGGAAGTGTCCGCCTTCATTTCTAATTAGACTGATTGGTGCGGATCCAGTGGGGCGTTTCTTAGAGTAAGTAGTTTTCGGGAAACATCTTAGGTAATGACGCACTATTTCTCGTTGAAATCCCATTTCTTGAAAACGGTTCCTTGAAATTGAATTAGCCACTGGGGGAACCAAAAAATCCTCATCTAGACACCAATAGTTGCGCTCTCGCGGCAGTCTATGATATCCACTCAAAAGTAAAATAGTAAGGAATACCCTCATTTCTTCCGGAGTCACACGAAATAGATGGTTGTTATTTTGATTTGTCTGCTCCACAATAATCTCAATAACCTCAGTGTCGAAATTTTTTTCAAAAATTTCAACAGGCGTTTTACCTTTGATTTAGTCTTTCATGGCATCCAGGCGATCCATGTTGTAGACACCATATTGATATCTAACATATCTTCTGTCCAGGCAGGATCTTTAGTTCTATTTTGATCGCTTAGTAATTTTTTTCTTAGTGTAGCTAGTGGAAGATTGTCTTCTTCATCGCTGTCTGATTTATCACTTGTGTAATGAAGCTCTATTTCCCCTGCAACATCGTTGGGAAGATTTTGCGGCTGGAGATCATCCTCATCAATATCTTCATTATCTGTTTGGTAATCAACATCTGGAGGAATAACCACCACCGATATATTTTGGTAACTGGAACTTGCTACATCATCTGCAGCTAAGTCAAGCATTCTATAACGTTTTCCATAAAAGCTAACTGGATTTACTTTTTAAAATTCGTCTGGATCCATTTTTAGAAAGGTTTATACCTAAAAGCATAGAAAAAGCAAATAAACATTTCTGACTTTATATAAGCCCGCTGTACTCAAATGAGTACAGATCTATTTTCTATGATCTCGGTAACCATAATCAAACAGAGCTGCTACCATGTAAATAAATGGAACTAGTACTTACCTGTCTAACAAAAAAGCGGCAACAAAACACGTAAATAATCTAAAATACTGCAAAAAGTTGAGCAGTCAAATTTTTGAACACGAACTGACAGGTAAATTTTAGAATATTAACTGAAACGCTACGATTACAGCGATAGCTATTGTTTCATTTATGAAAATCTGATAAAACACTTCCTATTTAAGCTTTAAGTGTCCATGAAGTTTGACTACTATACAAAAGATGTCGCCACTATGCCATTTTTGTTGTTGTACTCAAGCGAGTATGTACAGTGGGAGCAAATGATGGTTTATCAACATGCGATCAACCTGGGATAATGTTTTCTCAGAACAATTTTGAATGTATTTTCTCTGTTAATTATAAATCTATGAAAGATACCAATACAAACCTTGTGATTTTTTCCTCATTCAGCCATTATGAATCTAACCGTAACCAAGTTGCAGTGCTACCCCACCCTTATTTTGAACATATGTATTGCAGATTTTTTCCAGCTCCACTTCTGACCTTCGTTGCATTATATTTTTTTTACTAAGAAAATAAAATTTTATAGATCTAATTTGTCACGTTCATTAATTTTTTAATATCTTTGATCAGCTCGGCTTTTGCGGAAGTGCTTTTTTAACATTTTTTCTAACATACTCTACGACTTCAAAATTTGAAAGTACCTTCTGATATTGCTTTCCAAGAACTGAAGTGTTACCGAGTATCGTGGAAAACTCTTTTTTATGTAAATATGTAAATATAGGCAGTTTGAAAACGATCTATATTTTTTGCTATTATCTTTTTAATAATTTAATGCGTGCCTCGCCCTAACATTAGCCTCAGTATGCCTGTATTGAGAAACTACATAACGTTCTTGTGTAACATTATTTTAATGTAATTGAATCAGCATATATTATCGTACTGTCCCGTAGAGTTGCTGCTGTCTTTAATTTTACAAAGAAAGAAAGGTAGTTTTGCGGAAACTTAGATCAAAAACAAAAATCAATCGTGAACACGGCCGCAATAAAGGAACAGGATCAGGTCCAAATTAATGGATGTGCATCGAAAACATCGAAGTGAAAACATATGTTCATCATATCTGGATATGGGTGTAACGTAAAGAAAAACAAGAATGTAGAGTGAAATACAACTGGAAACCTTGAACAAGAGCCAGCAAGCACATTTGTGACTTCGCGCCGATGAGTAAATACAAAGACAAGTAGTTTTGAGGAATCCCTCTATTTTTGCTCCTTTTCCTTTATTGCGAACATGCCCACGATTGTCCTTTGCCTTTAATTGGCACACAAAAGCATAGATTGGACTACAACTATAACTTCGCTAGAACCTAAAGCCTAGCACATACAATGAAATTCATGTAATTTCCCGGTCTTAACTTTCAATGCGTACGAGAGAGAGAGAGAGAGAAGCGTGCAAAATTATGCAATACGTAGACGTAGCTGAGGATAATTTGTTTGGATGCAGAAACCATAGAGTAAAAGAAAGCCAAACATTTACAAGAAATGCAAAACGAGTGCACATGAGGCATTAATAACAAAATAAACTAAAAATTGTAACTTAAAAATTGCTCAACATAGTAGAAACATTGATCAAGAAGGATGCATTCATTCGTTTTTTGAATTGCAGATGTGAGATATATGATCTGAGGTAATTTATTGTAAACATTTAGATTTAATGAATTTCTCGCAGATATACAGGGTGTAAACGTTATGATAGTCATTATTTAAATGGGTGATAGAGGGGGTTAAAGAAGCAAAAAGTTTCATATGACATGGGGGTCAAAACGGCATTTTTTTTTTTAGAGAAAAGCGACTTTAAAGTAAAATAAAATCTGACGACGCCGCAATGCCAGACACAAATTACGACGGCACGCAGTGTAAATAAAGATGGAGTTTGTTATTTTTGGCTCTTAGGTATTATTTCATTATTTAATAATGTACTCGTAAAATGCAAACAATTAAAAAACCGGACTTACCACTAACTGTCTCAGCGCTTCACCTGGTGTGTGAAAGTTTATTGAACGTATTGAAAAAATCCACTTATAAATAGCGAACACAATTTTGATACATACATTGTTTTTCTTTTTAAACTCAACACTGCACTTTTTTTGTATTTAAAGAACGTCTTCCAAATTTCGTCCTCCACTTTCCACCCAATCTTCATTACGACGAACCCAGTTTCTTCTTACTCTAGGTCCTCGAAGTTGTCCATTTATTATTTCAGCCGCATTAATTTTTTTTTCGCGAAGTTGTGCTTCAGTTGACATTGGACCTGCTCCATAAACCAGCCCTTTAAGTTCTCCCCAATACCAGAAATCCATCGGATTGAGTTCAGGAGATCTTGCTGGCCATTTTCGAGGATCAGGAGCATTTCGACCAATCCAGCGATTTGGATAATGTTCATTCAATTACTGAATGACGCCTCTAAAAATGTGTGCTGCCCCGTCATGAAGAAACCTCAAATTCTGTCTCCGTTGTAATGGCATGTTGTCTAAGGTCTGTTCCAAAAGTTCTGGTAGGTTATTGGCTATAAGGCTGAGGTATCCTTCTCCTGAGAACTTTGGGGGTAACTCGAAAGGGCCAATTACCTGATCGTCAAGAATACCCGCCCAGATATTTATTTTAAAACGTTGTTGGAATTGACCTTCACGAATGGTATGAGGATTTTCTTGCGCCCACGTGTGAGTATTATGGAAATTCAATATCCCGTCTCGCGAAAAGTACATTCGTCCGTCGCTAGAATGTTTTTAAAAAAATCCGGATTTTCAATGTTTTTATGCAAAAACCACTGACAGAATGTTAGTCTGCGAGGATAGTCTTCTGGTAACAAGGCCTGCACTCATTGTACGTGGTAGGGATAAAGCAAATTTTCCAGTGCCGATATCTGCATCGATTTCCACGATATTTAAAATTTGTTCCTCCTGCTCTTTCACGAGTGCGAATATTATTGGGCTGAACACTTCCTGTATCTCGAAGTCTTTGGTACACTTGCACAAATGTCCTTCTGTCTGGGTGTACCCGTTGGCGAAATCTGTCGCAAAAAATTTGCGCTGCAAGATTTGAATTCTGACGAGCTTCACCGTAAACTAACAACATGTCGGCGAACTCTTAATTCGAGATCATTGTAAATAAATACGACGACGTACGCAAACAAAAGCAAAACAACACGCCCGATGCTCTGCTCGACAAAACGATAAAGTAATTTATCTATGCAAAGCGATAACTAACCACTGTTACCGTTTGCGATCGATTGCCGGTTCGATAAGAGTGACGAAAGACCGACGCGCTGTTGT